AATCACATTGCCTGGGCTGGGGGACATGAAATATTTGCACAGTGAAACTCATCAGCTGAAACTGGGGTTCAGGGCTTTGGAAAAGGCCAGGAATGCTTTCCTAAGCAGCTTGAATTATCTTGCCTCATTTACTTTCCTGATTTAGTACATTTATTGTTTTATTCTCTTTAAAGTATGGCCATATTTGCTTGGCATTGGTCATTCCAAAGAAAATACGATTCTATATGCAAACCAATTCAAATAGAAATACTTGGTTCAAATTGCTTGTTACTGCAGCAACTTGTTTGTTACTGCACAAAATCTTACAGGACTCTCGTTGGGTTGGTTTATTTGGTTAGGCATATTTGTCCAATCCCATCAGAAAATTTAGTCTTTGACTTAGTTTCTTAAAGATCCAGTAATTTTGTGTGAAGTTAACAGTGGTTGTAAAGGCCCCCTCTGTCCTTTCTTTAATTCTTTGCCTCTGCATGAGCTACCACCTATCTGAACCTTGAACTGCAACCAAAGTACATGAGTAATTTGCATTTGCGAATCCAAAACTACTTCCATGTTTATAAATTTTTAAAATAAGTACGTAATGTGATATTGTGAATGAGTTCATGCGTACTGCGTAACCACTGAAATGCTTCTTGGTAGCTTTTGCAATTTAAAAAAAAAAATTGACAACAATTTCTAATATTTCCATTCATGTCGCAGGCGTTAGCATGAATACTTCGGGAAATCTTCCATCATCGACGCTGTTAAAAGAGAGCAGTAAGTTGATAAATAATATGCCTGTAGAATTAATTCAGTCAGTTTGTGAAGCACTTGTCAAGTGTTCCACTTGTCCTGTTTCTTCACTATTCTTAAATCAAATACCTCTGCCAGTTAGTTGAATAGGGCCTTTTCCTAAACACAACTCTCGGTATTTATTTTGAATTGCTTGTTGGGGGAGATTTTGACGTCTGTGTGTAATATTTTCAGATATGAATACTGTCTCTTTAGTTTGAGGTTTGAAGCATGCTGTTACCTAACGTACCATGCTCTTCAAAGATGATTTCCCTTACTTGTGAAGTTCCTGGTTCTGCAGAGCCCAAGGAGACCGTTTTGGTTTTAGTTCTTCTAATCTTTAGATTTGACTTGATTTTGTGGGAGAAAAACTCCTTCTCCAGGTAGTGCAGTCTGTTGCACACTCTTGCACCACTGTTTTCTGCTTGTACCAGTGTGTAGAGCTGAAGAGGTTTCTCCCATTGTCGAATTACTTGTTCCACTTAAGGCAAAAGTTTGCCAGGCGCTACAGACCAAATGAGCTGTATCTTAGTTTAGACTTACATATTGGCATTTTCTGAAGTTTCAGGAGACTGATTTTTTCCCAAAAAGTCTCTCTCTTTTTTCTCTCTCTTAAGTGTCTGGGTCTACTTCAGCCTGTTGGGAACCCTCAGGAGTCACATAAATCTATTGTGAGGGTGTTCAGGTTTTGGAAGAGGTAGAATCAGCAGCCTGTGGAGTTGCAAGTGAGGAAATACATTTAAACAAGATAGGTTTTAGTAGATGCTTCCCATGTTGGTTGTTTTTTAATGAAGAACCACCATTAAGGTAACTCACTGAGTGACCTTTTAGTAACTTCATATAATAAGCCTCAGTTTCACTTTTACCAATGTGCTCACATCCTGCCTACCTGAGCAGGTCGGGTAAGCACAGATCTAAACACTTTGCTGAACTGAGAGTAAGACATTTGAAGATGCTAGGGCTCAATTGTGTTGTGATTCCAAGAGACTATTCTAGGTCCTTTTCTTAGGAATAAAAGATTTTTAACTGCTGAAGATGGGAGTGAGTTATAACAGTGGTGGTGGATTCTTTTTTTTTATTACTATTTGGACATGGCTTGGAAGATGAAAGTTGGGCTCACTAGTTCAGAACAGCTTTTCAGGTTATGACAGAAGTAATTTTTTTTTTAATGGAATACAAGTTCAAGGCAAACCTGAAGGGAATGATTTAGGTAGTGTCTGATCATGAAATGTTGGCTTTTCAGTTGACTCTCTGCAAACACCACAGAACAGAGTTGCCTCACCAGAAAGAGAGATCACTTTGGTGAACTTGAAAAAGGATGAAAAATTGGGTTTAGGTAAGTGACTTGAGAATTGTTGATGTCATGTGTGTTCCGAGAAGCCAGAAACAAAATGAAGTTTTCTGCTCTGTATGTAAAGTATTTATTATAGGACTGTGGAAAGCAATGCAGATGGTAGTTGGATTTCAAAGGCAATGAAGATGCTGAAGCCTGGACTTACTTGATAGCACCTGCTACTGATTCGTTGGGTGGTGTTAAGCAAGTCTGTTTCTCAGTTTTTCCATATTCTAAGTGTAGAATAATGTTTATGTTGTGAACTATTCATCCTAAAAGTTGGCCTTTAAAGTTTATCTCTGTGTTCAGGTACAAGATTTTTGTCTATGTGGACACCTCGCAGCTGTGACAGCTTGGAGGCTTTAAACAACAACAAAAAAAGACTTTATAAAGCCATTATGAGCTAATTGTGGAGTGTTTCTCTTACTCTTATAATATCATCAGATGGAACACTGATTTGAGGTTTAAGGAGCCTGGAAGACAAGATATTTGCATTCCATTCCTCCTTCTACCGCTGAGTTTTTTTCATAAACCCACATAATTTTTCCCGGTATGAGTAATGAATAATTTGATGTCAATGTTGTGCTTTAGAGTGGCTCTCTAAAGTGGTCTTAAGGACATTGTTCTCTCTCTCATTCGAAATAGGACTGTTGTGTAAATTTGAAGAGGGGGAAAAGCCTATAAGACAATAATACTTAGTGCTTACCCTGCACACTAACTTAAAAGTTGACCAAAAAGGAAGGAAATTCATATGAAATGCACCTTTTCCTCTCTTTCTTCCCTATGCAATCTGTGGTACTTTGCTGTTTTAGTTAGAATACAGAAGACCTGATATCTTCTAATTTCTTTTTTTTTCATCTTGAACATCCTTCCCAGGTTTACCTTGTAGAATTAGGAGAAATAGATTAGAAGCCTCAGAAGAAAGCAGGGAGTTGAAAAGCTCAGTTCTTAAGACCAGGGTCAGACATGTAGTTTGAAGCATCTAACAACAGAGAAAACCAGAAATCTTCAAGTAGGAGAAAATACATTTCATCTGGTCAGCAAATGTACATTTAATGCCATCTGTTTGTGTGTGTGCTTCTCCTGCCCCAGTTGTCTTCTGTAGCCTTTGCTGGAGTTTTCTGGGAAGCCAGCTAGACAAAGTCTCAATCAACAGAGAATGCAATAAGGCTTAATTAAAAAAGCTTTACCCTTTACTTTCGTGTAGACTTCTTTGACGTGTATAGTTTTCTTTTACTTTGCATTTATTAGAATTGCTAAGTTTTTGTCCATTCTGAAATGTGGACTTGTGTTAAGTTACACTGTGATCACTGACGTTTTTGCCTGCTTTGGGCCTTTTTTAACAGGCTTTCAAATAGTAGGTGGAGAGAAGACGGGGAAACTTGATCTGGGAATTTTTATTCATTCAGTTATTCCTGGAGGGCCAGCTGATTTGGAAGGATCTCTAAAACCAGGTGAGTAGTGGAAATAAGAGGAGGCTTATACATGGAAGAAAAGGTCAAACGTGTAGGTAGTACGATTTCCATCTATGGCTGCGGGCGTCAGTCCCTTAGAAATGCTGACCTTCAGTTACTTTCTGAAAACTTTCAGTTAATTTCTGAAAACTGTTGATGCTTCTTTGTTAAAGAACACAAACCCAAAAATAATTTGAATCAAAGTAAAAACGATAAAGCTTGAAGTAGCAGGAAATTAAAATTACATACAAAGATAAGAGCTTTATTTGCTATTGTCTATAGAGGCTTTGTAATTTCAATTCTTTAAAACTCCAAATCCATACTTCGGTTTTGGAAAAAGTGAATGTAACCCTATGGCTACTATAGCGAGGGGCAGCAGGGAGGAAGAAAATTTATTTTATTTAATGTCTGCTTTTTTTTTAATCATTTTAGTCTGTGACTTGAACTGAACTGCATATTGCTTATTTCACTTGTTGATTTTTTGCTTTTGCATCTGTTTTTCTTAGAAGAGAAGGCAGAAATCATAATATGGAAAGGTTTGGAGGTTTAAAAAGAGGAAATATCCATAACCGTTCTTGTGGTTGTTTTGATTTCTGGTTAGAGTTTCCTATTCCAGCATCTCTTGAATTTTAGTAATTTTTAATCCATGCATTGTGTAGAGATTTTCAGACCTGTACTTCACATTCTGACTGGTGGATAAAATGTCGATGTTAAATTATATCTGAACAAACCCTTTTGTGCAGGACACCGACTAATATCCATAAACAGCACAAGTTTAGAAGGTGTCAGCCACCATGCAGCATTAGAAATTTTGGAGAATGCACCTGAAGACGTGACGCTTGTTATCTCTCAGCCCAAGGACAAGCTGTCCAAAGGTACAGAGAGAAATATTCCTCATTATTAAAGAGTTATTCTTTTGAGTTTGAGCACTCTGCCTTCTTTGACACCTATTGTGAAGAATTGTCTGTGTTTCTTTAAAATTACTAATCTAGTCATCTGAGATAGCAGTAAAACATCACCCTAACTGCAGTCACTTCTGTAAGCAACCCCAGCTAGTAAATACTTGAACTCATATTCTCAGACTGAACGAAGGGAGTTACGGTAACCTTTGGTGAGGACACACCATCATGAACAGAAAGTGTTCTGCATAACGTGCATGGGTAAAAGCTTACGTGGTTGTAAGATGAGACATTTGTCATACTGCAGATAAAATGCTACCAGCTACTGATGACTGTCTTGTCTCCTGGTTTTCAGTGTCGTCTAACGCTACACACATCAGTAATGGAACCAGGGCTTATTTAAGGAGGCCATCGTCCGTGCAGGACAATGAGGCAGAGTCCTCTTCAGAAGAACACAACCGGTCCCGTGGTCACCAGAGGCCTGTTTCAGGGAGTTTGTCTGGTTTGTCGGGAGGCAAGCGGGATGGAAGCATGAGCTCCCAGGATTCCAGAACTGAGAGTGCCAGCCTGTCTCAGAGCCAGACAGCCAGCTGCTTTGGCAAACGTGCAAGTGGTAGAGCCCAGCAGGATCCTCAGCATTACAGTGATTCCCAGTCTGGGCTTTCTAAAATGGATGAGAAGAGAAGATCCTCATCTGACAGTACTCGAGCAAAAAATAAAAGGCCTGGGGTGGTGGAATCTGTGGAATATTCTGACCGAGGGGATTCTGATATGGATGAAGCAACTTATTCCAGCAGCCAGGAGCAACAGCCAGCTAAAAAGGCATAGTGTATTTCATATGAATATTTCCCATCAGTATAACAGTGGTAGTGAAAGAGCTGACTGTGGGTGTGAATGAGGTGAAAGGATATTGTAGCAGTTTTATGATTTTGTTCGAAATAAATGCGGAAAATCAATCCTGTAACTTGAAATAATTTCCCAGCTTTCCAATGTCACGAGACGGGCGTGTCTTACTAGAGGCAGATTGTGCTTTAGGGTGAAAGTGTAGTGCACTTGTTGATTCTGTAGAACAGCTCCTTTCAATTCTGTGTGGGGGTCCAATATGATCAGTTTAGTGACCACCCCTAGAGGTAAGTTTGTTCACCTGGCAGATAAGTTTTTTCTAGGTTAAAGTAGTAGTGGTGCGTCTGGAACAGGTTGTCTTTTGGGATTGATCTAATCCACGGAAAACTGTTCTTGTATAGTGAAGTTCAGCAGTGAGCCACGCTCTGAACAGAGACAGCTTGCTGCTTCGCCTTTCCAGAAGTACACAATGGCAAGTACTACAAATTCATTCCTAACTTGCAGTCATTCCTCTTTTCAACTGGTAGAGGTTATTCAGTCAAGTTGTAGCAGCTCCTGCAAATAAATCCAGCAGACCCTAGGCTGCTGTAATTCTGAATTACTGTTGTTTCTCTGACCAACTCACTTTAACAATACAAGCTCCACTGCTGAAGGCCAGTCATATTTCTGTGCTAAACCTGCTCAGTGGCAGCAATGGAAGAGTTAAAGCAGTGAGCCTGAGAATCTTACTAATTGGTACTTTGCCATGTGGACTCCTTTTGGCTGCATCTGAGTGAAAACACACCCTTTAGAGTCTTAACTGTAAACTTCTGTTCTAATGGCAAATCATTCTCTTTTTGTTTGTTTGTTTTTTTCTTTTTAAATAAAGGAATCTTCCTCAGCAAATACAGCAAACAAAATGAATTCTAAAAAGGTTTCTGCAACACTTCTTAAACCTGGAGATATCTTTGAGGTTGAACTAGCCAAAAAAGATAACGGCTTGGGAATAAGTGTCACGGTACTGTTTGACAAGGTTTTTAGATGTTTTCTCTTTTTTTTCCTCTACTCCCAGCAACCCATTAAATTGCTAAATTACAAGGAAGCAAAATATTTTCTGGAGTCACTGTTAAGTATACAGTTTTACTGATGTGTGATTAATTTTGCCAAAGCTGAAAAGTAATACTATTTTAATCCCTTTTCTTGTCATCTGCCCTTTAAGTAACTCTTGTTTGTTGTTTTATGGTGGAGCCCCAAAGTCCTAATAGAACCTTATCACAGACGCTGCTTTGTGAGTACAAAAAGCAAGATGGTCTTTGTCTCCTTCTGCCTAATAATGTGGCAAATTTACAAGGGAGAGAAGTAAGCCCTTCCCTGCCTGACATCGCGGGCAGTGGAAGCAGTAGTGTTACTTAAGTAGAGTATCTATGCACATCCACACACATATACCATGGTCAGTGTTCTCCCTCTGCTGGATAAAAGGTAGAAATCAAAAAAACTGCTTAGATCCCTATAAAACCTGGCTGACACTGCTTTCTTGCAATGACACAGAAAAGTATTTTTAGTGGACTAATTTCTCTTTAGGCTATGAAATTCTGAAGGTAGTTTACATTTAGGGCCTGCCATACTGCAGAGTGGCGCTTCAGGGAAGAAGAGAATGATTTATAACTGAGATGCACACGTTTTTCCCTACTCCTGTTCTTGTATTGTGTTCAAAAATACATTTTGATATTTTAATATTCAAATATTATATCTGACAGATTGATCGCCAGACTGCCCAGTAACTTGAAAAGGGAAAATTTGCTTAAATGTTAACAACAGAGAACAGTAATGAGCTGTAGTTCAAAACTAGTGGCTTTCGCTGGCTGTTTATACCTAGAACTAAGTTGGCCTTTTCCCAAATGTGGCCATATGGATTGGCATGTAGATGGAGCGCCAGTTCGAAAGCCTAATGCTGGTTTCGTGTATATGACTAGTATTGTAAGAGGAGCAGAATGAAATTCTGTTATTTTAGCATCCCAGCCTATTCAAAGTCATATTGCTTTGTCAAGCT